AGTGCAGTGGCACGCTCACAGCCACCGCAGCCTCGACCTACTGGGCTCAGGCAATCCTTCTACCTCAGCCTTCTAAGTAGCTGGAACCACAGGCATGCACCATCACGCCCGGCTAATTTTTTTTTTTTTTAATTGTAGAGACGAGGTCTTGCCAAGTTGCCCCGGCTGGTCTCCAACCCCTGAGTTCAGGCAATCCTCTCACCTCTGCTTTCCAAAGTGCTGGGATTACAGGCGTGAGCCACCGTGCCCCCTGCCCCGCCAAATAGAAATCTTATAACTTGCAGTTGACAGTGTAAACTGGGTACAACCACTTTGGAAGTTATTTGGCATTATCTAGTAAAGTTGAAGATACGCATACACTGTGATTCGCTCCTCTATTCCTAGGAGTGTATTCCACTCAGACTCAACACGTGCGCCAAAGTAATATGTAGAAGAATCTTCATAGCAGGCTGGGCGCGGTGGCTCACGCCTGAGCAACAAAGCGAGACGCCATCTCTATTTAAAAAAAAAAAAATTATCGGGCGGGCTCAGTGGCTCAGGCTATAATCTCAGCACTTTGGGAGGCCCAAGCGAGTGGACTGCCTGAGCCCGCGGGTTCAAGACCAGCGAGGGTAACTTGCCGAAACCTCGTCTCTACAATAAATAAAAAAATTTGCCGGTCGTGGTAGCGCGCACCTGTAGTTCAGGGTACTTGGAAGGCTGAGGCGGAAGGATCGCCGGGGCCCAGCAGGTCAACGCTGGGTGGCCGTGAGTGTGACAGTGCACTCCAGCCTGGGCGACAGTGTGAGACTCCGACTCAAAAAGAAAAAAATTAGGAGGACGTGGTGGCGCGCGCCCGTAGTCCTAGCTACTGGGGAGGCTGAGGCAGGAGGATCGATCACTTGAGTCCCGCAACTCAAGGCTGCAGTGGCGCGCTCGCAGCCCTCCTCTCCCCACCATACCCTTCCTGTTCCTTTAAAATTGGCCGGGCTGCAGCAAGGCGAGTGAGTGACGGCACCGTCGACCGATCAGAAGCGGCCCCGTCTCGGGCCCGTCCCCGAGGCCCGGACCAACCGCGTCCCGGTGG